TTTAGTGATGCTCCATCACATTGCAGTCCTGTGGCATCTTCTCCTTCAACACAGTGCTTCTTTAGTAGCTAAGACGTTTAAGTATAAAATACAGTAATAAATGTAGTAGTGTAGTAGTAGTATAATATAGTAGTTGTATATAATACATTTTTGGACATTTAGCCTAGCATGATTCTGAAATGAAAACTGCTCACCTACATTAAACTTTTCATTCTCATTTTGGTCCATCTGCATCCTTTGCAATATATCTAAGTCTATTTAATAACTCCCCACCAGCAAAATCACTTTTAAATTACACAACGATGGATGAAACTGCATGAAGAGAATGTAAATCTACTAATTAAGTGAGGAATAATCGAATAATCATCTGTTTTAATGCACAGGGTAATTTGATTAGCTGTGCTGATAATATACTATTTTGTTCTATAAATGTCTTACCTTTTAAAAGTTCATCACAGCGGTCTCTTCTGCTGCATCTCTACGGCGCTTATTGTATGAGCGCTAACTTCTGGGAACTATTGAGCGGCTCCACGATCCGCCATTGCTGTAAAAAACTGGTCCACAGTCCTGTGGCATCTTCTCCTTCAACACAGTGCTTCTTTAGTAGCTAAGACGTTTAAGTATAAAATACGGTAATAATGTACAGGTTTACTGTAATTACTTCTATAATATAGTAGTGGTATATAATACATTTTTGGACATTTAGCCTAGCATGATTCTGAAATGAAAACTGCTCACCTACATTAAACTTTTCATTCTCATTTTGGTCCATCTGCATCCTTTGCAATATATCTAAGTCTATTTAATAACTCCCCACCAGCAAAATCACTTTTAAATTACACAACGATGGATGAAACTGCATGAAGAGAATGTAAATCTACTAATTAAGTGAGGAATAATCGAATAATCATCTGTTTTAATGCACAGGGTAATTTGATTAGCTGTGCTGATAATATACTATTTTGTTCTATAAATGTCTTACCTTTTAAAAGTTCATCACAGCGGTCTCTTCTGCTGCATCTCTACGGCGCTTATTGTATGAGCGCTAACTTCTGGGAACTATTGAGCGGCTCCACGATCCGCCATTGCTGTAAAAAACTGGTCCATTGGAGTGAACGGAGTTGTCACAACTCTCTCTCTACAGCTCTGGTTTGGGCCATACAAATTATGGGAGTTTTACTGGAGGCGAATGTAGCAAACATATAAAATACGCCCAGTGGGATTTTTTTTATAGAAAGATTAAAAATATGGGAGAAATACGGGAAAATATTTAAACGGGATGATAGCGGGATAGAATGGTAAAATACGGGAGAATCCCGGGAAAAACGGGAAGGTTGACAGGTATGTTCATGACTTTGATGTACCATTCACAACTGAATTTCAACTTCCTGCTTTTGTCAGCAGAGCGTATAATTTATGTTAAATTGATTTGCTTAATATGCTTAAAATACAATTTTTTTTTCCTTTGGAGAAGGCTGAATTGCGGTATTTTAAACCTGGTTAATCGCTTCTCTTTTTGTGAGAAAGGATTATGGACCAGCACACAGAATGAAACACCCTTTCTCTTTCTCACAGCTAATTGGGTGTGGAACTCTGTCAGTGCAAGGAATAAGCATTAATATGAGAATTTACATTTATTATGGGAAACAACTGTCACCAAACACTGATTTTAATGCATTCTTTTGTGAGCTTCTTCAATTCAGGGCTTTTAGATAGCAAGCTTTAACATCCTGGTGCATACTCCAAGGCCATAATCTCATCATCTATTAATTTCATGCTGCACTTAATTAACATTGTGCTATTGACCAACACACTGAAATACTCCTTTATGTAATAAAGTTAAAGTGTTATGAACAGACTGATGACACAGCCTAATGAGCACATAATGAGTAGGAAAGACATGAGATAATAATATCTCCTTTTTCCTCCATTTCAGGGCCGTTTCTAGCCAATTTGACGCCCTAGGTGAAATCCCTATTGCCCTAATTATATATATATATATATATATATATATATATATATATATATATATATATATATATATATATTT